CATAAATATAATTTTGTTTTCCTTTATAAGAGAGGATTCTTTTTATTCTAATTCTTTTATCTTTAAATCTTTGTATATATTATTACATGTGGTGCTGAAGGATGACACTTTGTTTCAATGATACTTAATATATCTATTACCTTTATAGCTACATGGTAGTTCCCCTAAATTCCTGTAAAAATAAATTTTTATTTGATGTTAAGTGTATGTTTTGAAATGCAAGAATTCAGATGTGATTTTTTACCTCATATTGACATGTTTGTGTGTTACTTTAAAGAGGACGTGTGTTTTAAAGGAGGACAGGCACTGTGTGTTTTCAAGAAAACAGTGCAGTGCATGTCTTGGGGAAATGTAATCAAGATGAAGTTTTTTCACCTTTCCAGAGTGTGATCATATTGCTCCGGATTGCTTATTTGCTATCAAGTGACTTTTTTCCTTAATGGGGTTGTGGTTATTTGAACATATTTATTAGCTCTGGAAGATAATCCTGTATTATTTTTCATGTAGAAAAAAACATAAAGCTGGGTGCAGTGCTCAAACCTATAATCCCAGCACTTTAAAACTCATGGCAGGAGGATCACTTGACACCAGGAGTTTGAGACCAGCCTGGGCAACATAGCATCTACATCTACTTTTTAAAAATATTTTTTTTTTTTAAAAGAAGGCCAATCCCAAGCTAGAGGTGTTTGTTTGTTTGTTTGAGACGGAGTCTCGCTCTGTTGCTCAGGCTCAAGTGCAGTGGTGCAATCTTGGCTTACTGCAACCTCCACCTCCTGTGTTCTAACCATTCTTCTGTCACAGTGTCCCAAGAAGCTGGGACTACAGGTGTGTACCACCACACTGAGACAATGTTTGTATTTTTAGTAGAGACAGGGTTGCACCATATTAGCCAGGCTGATCTCAAACTCCTGACCTCAAGTGATCCACCCACCCTGGCCTTTCAAATTGCTGGGATTACAGGCATAAACCACCATGCCCAGACCCTAAGCTAGAGTTTTAAAGCAGGAAATGAGGGAAAGACATTGAGAGAAGAAAACCAGGTGGTAAAAGAACTCTACAGGTTTTTACTTTTTAGAGTTTCTAAAGTGGCCCACACCTGTGATCCCAGCAGGAGTTCCAGACCAGCCTGGCCAACATGGTGAAACCCTATCTCTACTAAAAACACAAAAATTAGCTGGGGATGGTGGTGCCCACCTGTAATCCTAGCTATTGGGGAGGCTGAGGCAGGAGAAATCACTTGATCCTGGAAATTGGAGGTAGCAGTGAGCAGAGATTGTGTCACTGCACTCCAGCCTGGGTGTCAGAGCAAGACTCTGTCTTCCAAAAAAAAGAAAGTTCCTGCAACATTTGAGACATTAAAGACAGGCACTGTGCCATGCAATTCTTTTTTATTTTTGGAGTTGGGGTCTTGCTCTGTCACCCAGCCTGGGGTGCAGTGGTATAGTCATAGCTCACTGTAGCCTCAGATGCTCAAGTGATCCTCTTACCTTGCCTCCCAAAGTGCTGGGATTACAAGCATGAGCCATCACAGCTGGCCTGTGTGACACAATTCTGATGTAACTCTGTGATATTAATGACAAATGCCACAGGTTAAGGCCACAAGCCCCCACTAGGCTGCCCTCACTTTAGATGCAAGCTACAAGTTTGGGTGTCCTCAGACCACATGTACTTCTCACCAACTGGCTACAAATTCAGAGGTTCCCACAGTGTCCTCAGGTTTGATAATTTCTCTATAACAACTCAAAGAACTCAGAAAAGCAAGATACTTTTTGTTGAGATGAAGTCTCACTCTGTTAAGCAAAAGTGCAATGGCACAATCTCAGCTTACTGCAACCTCTGACTCGCAGGTTCAAGTGATTCTCTTGCCTCAGTCTCCTGAGTAGCTGGGATTACAGGTGACTGCCATCATACCTGGCTAATTTTTGTATTTTTGGTAGAGAGGGTTTCACTGTGTTGGCCAGGTTGGTCTCAAACTCCCAAACATAGGTGATCTGCCCGTCTCAACTTTCCAAAGTGCTGGGATTACAGGCATGAGCTACTGTGCCCGGCCAAGCACATTTTCATTACAGTTTTATATGAGAAAAACTGACAAAAGTTAATGCCAGCCAAAAGCAGAGACACATAGTATAAACTCTGAGAGGGTCCTAAAGATGACATTTCTGTGTCCTCAGGACGCATCATCCTCTCAGCACACTGATGTGTATCGCCATCCAGGGAAGGTCACCTTGGCTTCCATGTCCAGGGGTTTTATTACATCAGGGGTTTGATGCAATCATTGGCCAGGCAGTTGAGTCCATCTCCAGCCCCCCAGTTCCTTTCTGGAGGTCGGCTGACATCATGTGGCTCAAAGTCACAACCTTCATGGTTGGTCTTTCTGGTATGGTTGGCCCCCTGGCCAAGTCATCTGGTTAGCATGAACTCAGGTATGACCCTGGGGCGGCCACCATGAGTAACAGACATGCATATCATTCAAGAAATTCCATGGATTTAGAAGCTGGCTACCTCCAGGAATCAGAGACAAGACCAGAACCAACAAGGAAAAGAAGTCCAGGGAAGTGTCAGAACAGCAAAGAAATACATTCCTTTTTATATGTGTATATATAATGTATATAAAATATATATTTAATGAATTAATGTATTAAATATGTAGATTTATAAATAGAAATATGTCATATTTTCATGACATATATAAACATCATGCATATATAGAGAAATATGCAAGTTTCTCCCTTTATTTATTTGACTTGAGTTGGAGTCTCACTCTGTCACCCAGGCTGGAGTACAGTGGCATGATCTCAGCTCACTGCAACCTCTGCCTCTTGAGTTCAAGTGATTCTCCTGCCTCAGCCTTCTGCATTGCTGGGATTATTTTTGTTAAATTTGGCCTAAAGCTGCCTCATAAACAGTGACCTGTATCCTAATTTAAGTGTGTAAACATTTCGCTAAAGTAATGTAAAGTAAAATTAAGGAAAATAAGGAAAAAAGGGCATAAACCTTTGTGAAAAAGCCCTTAGGCCTTGTCAGTTCCTAGAATGTATTTATTTCACCATGCTGGGGACTCCATTTCCAGTATTAAGGTCCATTTTCAGAAGAAGAAAATGAAAAGGATGAAAAAGAGGGTGGGGAGGAATGGTAAAAACAATTGCATCCAGGGCCAGTCAACGGTGGCTCACACCTGTAATCCCAGCACTTTGGGAGGCCGAGGCAGGTGGATCATGAGGTCAAGAGATCGAGACCATCCTGGTCAACATGGTGAAACTCCGTCTCTACTAAAAATACAAAAAAATTAGCTGGGCATGGTGGTGCGTGCCTGTAATCCCAGCTACTCAGGAGGCTGAGGCAGGAGAATCGCCTGAACCCAGGAGGCGGAGGTCGCGGTGAGCCAAGATTGCACCATTGCACTGCAGCCTGGGTAACAAGAGCGAAACTCCGTCTCAAAAAAAAAAAACAAAAACAAAAAAACAAAAAAACAAAAACAACAACAACAACAACAAAAAAAAAATTGTGTCCAGGCGGTGTTCCTAGGACCCGAGGGCCCCCTCTGTCTGGCAGGGGGACCCAACAGCTGTAACTGATGTATACCCTGAGAATGACTTTATGGTCTAAGAATGTGTGTTCTTAGCCCCAAGCTAAGGAATCAGGAGTGGCAAGAGCCCAGAAGGATGCCAACCTATGAAACCGCGAGTCGAGAGGTCCAGCTGGGCACTTGGTTTCTCAGGCCACCCACGACCCTCTTCCAAGTTGTACTGTCCTTCTTTCCTCTCCTTTCCTTCCTGTTCTAAAGTTTTATAATAAACTTTTTTTTTTTTTCGAGCTGGCATCTCACTCTATCGCCCAGGCTTGTGTGCAGTGGCTCCATCTCAGTTCATGGCAACGGCCGCCTCTCCGGTTCAAGCAATTCTCCTGCCTCTGCCTTCCGAGTAGCTGGTCTGAGACCACTACCACACCCGACTAATTTTTGTGTTTTTAGTAGGGATGGGATTTCTCCATGTTGACCAGGTTGGTCTCAAACTCCTGACCTCAAGTGATCTGCCCACTTCAGTCTCCCAAACTGCTGGGATTACAAGGCTTGAGCCCCTGCCCCGGCCTTCTTTTTTTTTCTTTTCTTTTTTTTTGTGGGGGGGGGATAAGTCTGTCTCCAGGCTGGAGTGCAGTGGCATGATCTCGGCTGACTGCAACCTCCGCCTCCCAGGTTCCAGCGATTCTCCAGCCTCAGCCTCTCTACTAGCTGGGATTACAGGTGCCCGCCACCACACCTGGCTTTGTTTGTTTGTTTGTTTGTTTGTTTGTTTTTGAGACGGAGTTTCGCTCTTGTTACCCAGGCTGGAGTGCAATGGCGCGATCTCGGCTCACCGCAGCCTCCGTCTCCTGGGTTCAGGCAATTCTCCTGCCTCAGCCTCCTGAGTAGCTGGGATTACAGGCACGCGCCACCATGCCCAGCTAATTTTTTGTATTTTTAGTAGAGACGGGGTTTCACCCTGTTGACCAGGATGGTCTCGATCTCTTGACCTCGTGATCCACCCGCCTCGGCCTCCCAAAGTGCTGGGATTACAGGCTTGAGCCACCGCGCCCGGCCCCCCCTTTTTTTTTTTTTAAGTAGAGATCGGTTTTCGGCACGTTGGCCAGACTGGCCTCAAGTGATTCACCAACCTCTGCCTCCCAGAGTTGTTGGAACACAGGCGAGAGCCACCGCTGCACCCGGCAGGCGTGGAAGAGGTTCCGCTGGGGCCTGCTCGGAGGAGTCGCGCTGGGGAAAGCGAGCGGAGGTGCTCCGTGAAGAAACTGGGGATTCCCAGATCTCAGGGGTTCTGTCCTGGCCTGCCGCCCTGGGTCGTCCAGCCTGGACGGGAGTGTGGAGAAGACCTCGCCCTTCTTGGCTGGCGCTGAGTGTGAGGGTCCAACTTCGCCAAACGCCTAGCCCGGGGTTCCCAGCCCTTGGCCCCACCCAGCAGCGCCCGGCCCCGCCTCCCCTCCAGGCCTGGCACGCGCCCTCAACCAACATGGCGCCGCCGACCTCAGTACATCAAGCGACACGCCCGCCGGCGTTCTCCAGCGCTTCCCTTATTCCCGCAGCCGGAAGCGGAGCGGCCGAGCGGGAAGCCTGGCTTCGGGCGGGTGGTCGTCTGGGCGGCGCTCGGGCCGCGGTTGTGTGGCTGCGCTGGCGCTGCAGGGCGGGATGCCGTATCCCCGGGAGAGCCCGTCGCGGGAGCGCAAGGAGCTGGACGGCCTCTGGAGCATCCGCGATAACTTCTCCGACGACCGGCGCCGGGGCTTCCTGGAGCAGTGGTAGGGCCGCTGCAGCGGTACTCGGGGCAGGGCCGGGAGGCGCGCGGAAGCCCGGCGGGGGGAGTCGGGGAGCCCGGGCCGCCTCGCAGCCTCCTTCCCCTGGGCGCGCGGGTGTTGGGGGCCCAGAGGAGGTTAAAGGTCAGTGGGCTTGCGAGCGCGGGGCTGGGAGAGTGGGGCACGGAGGGGACCCAGGGGGACCGCGGGGGAGGAGGAGGAAGCACCCCTGCCGAGCCCCCTCCCGAGGCGAAGGCTGAGCCCGGGCAGTGTCCTTTTTTTCAATGTTTATTTTTAATTTTTAAAACATTTTTTGAGACCGGGCTTGGCTCTGTCGCCCAGGCTGGAGCGCAATGGTGCAATCCTAACTTATGAGCTCAAGCGATTCTCCTGCCACAGCCTTGCAAGTTAGCTGGGGCCTCCACACCTGGCTAATTTAAAAAAAAAAATTTTTTTTTGGTGAGATATAGGGTCTCACTACTTTGTCCAGGCTGGTCTTGAACTCCTGGCCTCAAGCCATCATTTTATGTTGACCTTCCAAAGCACAGATTACAGGCATGAGCCACCCAGACACTCCTCCAGCTAGTCGGGCCGGAGCCAGAGTGGCTTGCGCTGCACAGAGCTGGTCCCGGGGATGGGGAGGAGCGGACAGTTTAGGCATCCCAAGGTCAGCTCTGCCAAGGCAGGAATGTACCTTGGTCCCAGATCTGTTTGGGGGCCTAGGAGCTGAGCTCCGCCCTTCTCTCTGCAGTCTGGCCCCACCCTGGACATGCAGGTTCTCTCCAGCTTCAAGAACATCTGCCAGGACTGGTGGCTATGCCATTTTGTCAGCTGGGTATGGTACGAACAGGAAGTGACCCTGCTGGAGTGGTGGACCCAGGACCTGCACACAAGAATGGTGCTGAGGATTGGCAGTGCCCACTCCTATGCCACTGTGGTGAGTGCAGCCAGGAGCAGGTAGGGCAGGTGGGTAGGCGTGGCTGCTGAACAGCATGGGAGTCCCAGGTGCCACCCACAGCCTGTCTCCTGGGATGGGACGGTGGGGGTGTAACATGGCTAGCCTCAAAGTTAGAACCTGAGAAATGCCATTTTGTAAAAAAAAAGCTGTTCTTAAAATCAGTTGTAACGGCTTCCCCATTCTCTTTGCAATAACTGCTGACCTTGGCTTCTATGAAAAGTGCTTGCTTCTGCTTATCATTAAGTGCTGAAAAGTTGCTTGCCCTGCGTCCCCCCACTCTGAAACCAAGAGGTGGTTTTTCAGCTTTAAAAACCTGTCTCCCCCTGAACTCGGGGCCACGGGTTGGAGAGACGCGAGTCCTCCGTGGTCACCGGCAATAAATGACCCTACAATTTGACATACTTTTGTCTTGGTGTTGACTTTTTATGCTCGGTCCAATACAACAGGGGGCCCTTCCTTACTCTGCCCTGGAGGCTGTGTCCTGCATAGGGGGATAGGTGGCCTACTCCACCCCACTGGGATGCCATTCTTCCCGTCTGGCTGGCAGGCCTCAGCTCTATGCTGCAGGTTATGAGGGAGTGCCTGATAGCAGGGTCCCTCATCATACACTGACCTGACACCCGTTCCCCATATCTCCGGTGTCTGCAGTGGGTGAATGGGGTCAATGCGCTAGAGCATGGGAGGTTATCTCCCCTTCAAGGCCAACATCAGCAGCCTGGTCCAGGTGGGGCCCCTGCCCTCCCACCTCCCCATCACTATTGCCATCAACAGCACACTCCCTCCACCCGGCCACCATGGATTATCCGCTACATGACTGACACCTGCGAGTGGGTACCATCCTGCCTTCACTGAACGCCCCCACTTTCCCGCCCCACCCCATGGTCTTCCTGCTAGTGACAGGGTTGCCTTCACATAGTGGAGGGGCCTGGATCTGGGGAGGCCACAGACATGTGAGCTGAGGTTAAACAACCCACAGCAAGGGTCCAGCAAACCACAATTCTCCCACCCTAGATATCCCAAGGGTTACTTTGTCCAGAACACAGACTTTGACTTCAGCTCGGTGGGACTACAGCAGTCTGAGCTTCTGTTCACGACACCCACCACCTGCATCGATGACATCACCATCACCACCAGCGTGGAGCAAGACAGTGGTGAGGGCTTCCGGTAGGATCCTTTCTCAGCGGGGCCCAGGGTGGCTCTATTTGTTCCCTGTTTGGAAAGCTCTCCCAGGACAAAGGTTCTCCCAGCGTCTCTAAACCCTCACAGGTTCCCATCCACCTACGAAGCTAAAATCCAGACTGTCCGAGCGGTTACCGGCTCCCAAAATCACCTGTGTGGTTGAGCTCACTTGGAGAAGAGGGGTCTTGCCTAAGGTCACACAGTTCAGGGTGACAATCCTGTCCCTTCCCCATGGAGCTGCCCTCACTCCAGCTCCCCATGGTACACATCGTGCTCAAGGAACAGGCAGCTTACCAGGTATTCCCTTTGGCCCAAGCCCCACCCAAGGCCCCTCCCTGTGGCCCCAGGCTCCCACCAAATCCCTGAGCAAATAGTACAGCGTTGCCAGTCTATGGTTTCATGTTGAACTAATTATCTACTCAAGTGCTGCTTAACTGTGTGCTTTGGTGACTGCCTGTCTCCATCCTTTAATGACCCCTGATGCTCACATGGCTCATGAGTGAAGGTGTCCCCAACCGAGATGCCCCCTCCCAGGGTGTGCTTCCAGGACTCAGCTCCAGGACAGGGACATTCAGCCATGAGGGATAGGGTGGGACCAGGGCAGGGGCTCTCCTGGCTCCTGATATCTGCTCACCTGACCTCCAGCATTGCTGCCACCTGCTATAGGTGACTGAGAAGTGGGCCCAGGGCACCTTCAGACTCAACCCCAATGAAGAGGACATCCACATAGCTAGCGAGCACTGCCTGAAGGTATGACCCTTGCAGCCCCACCACTTTCTGGCCTCCCGTCTCCACCTGGCCTTGGGCCACTTTGAGCATTAGCACCATCGTTCTGTTTACTTTGCCATTGGCAGACAGCAGTGGAGACCTCAGGACATGGGCCAGTTGTGGCTCATGCTTATAATCATAGCACCTTGGGAGGCTGAGGTAGAAGGATCACTTGAGGCCAAGAGTTCGAGACCAGTCTGGGCAACATAACAAGGTTCCATAACTACAAAAAATTGAAAGAAAAACAACAACAACAACAGGGATAAACAGAATTGGTGAGAGACTTGGGCAAGACTCGGGGCCCTGGGGTAGAGAGGGAGGTTGGCAGGGCTGATGAATGCTGGCCTGCCTGGAGAGTAAATCTCCAGGCATGTTGACTGTGACCCTGGGCCTCCCTTCACCTCTAAGAGCTCATTGGCAAAACTGCTGGGAAGCTGCACACGGGATGCAGCCGGAATGACCAAGTGCCTCTAGCTCCTCCACCCTCCTGCTTGTCCCAACCTTGGGGAGCCCAGGAGGCAGTTAGAGCTCAGCAGGGTCCTGGCTCCCCAGGGAAGCAACATTTCAGCCTCCCTGAGCATCACCTCCTGCTAGCACAGGTGGTCATAGACGTTAGACTATGGATATGGCAGACTGGCTCCATGCTCTTCGGCCTCCTCTGGGAGCTCATCAGGACCATGGTGGATCCGACAGACATGTGAGTTCCCAAGGGACACCCAGGGGACGCAGAGAGGTGTGATGACAGCCTGAACAGCAGACTAGGTGGCAGGGGTGAACAGGGTGGGGTGCCAGGCCCTGGGGGACAGGGGTATTGCAGAACTCCGGGATCAAGGTAGAGCAGCCAGGAGTGGGACATTTCCTGCAGACCCCAATACTCCCATGCCAGTCTAGCTCAGCAGGCAGGGAAGACACCCTTTGTGGGGCCGGGTGTGGTGGCTCACAACTGTAATCCCAGCACTTTGGGAGGCAGAGGCTGGTGGATCACCTGAGGGCTGGAGTTCGAGACCAGCCTGGCCAACATGGTGAAACCCTGTCTCTACTAAAAATACAAAAATTAGCCAGACGTGCTGATATGCACTTGTAATCACAGCTACTTGGGAGACTGAGGTTCAAGGAGAATCCCTTGAACCCGAAAGGCGGAGATTGCAGTGAGCTTCGATTGCATCACTGCACTTCAGCCTGGGAGACAGAGTGAGACTCCGTCTCAAAAAATTAAAAGAGAACTCACCCTTTGCAGATTTGAGGGAAGGAAACTAAGGCATTAGCTTGGCTGTGCCTGGAGCAGCCAGAGTCTCTCCCCACCCTGCCTGTGCCCCATGTCTCCCATATTCCGTGTCCCCACCCAGCCCATCTGGTGAAAGACAGAGTCAAAGGCTGCCTCCTGCTGGCCTCATCCCGGGCTTTGGCTTCTGGGACCTGGTGTCTTTGGGTCTGGATTTGTTCCTTGCAGACCTGGAGGAGATTCTGCTGAGGAGTCTCCTCCATATGTTGTCAGAGATCCCTCCTCTTTGTCAACTCCCTGTGACCCCTGTTTCTCAGACTTGGAGGGAAATAAGGGTACACAAATTGTGACCGTGGAGGACAAGGCTGCTAGGAAGAACAGGGAGTGTCTGCTACTGAGTTCAGGGTTTCTTTAATTTTCTTTTTTTTTTTTTTTTTTTGAGACAGGGTCTTGCTCTTTTGCCTAGTCTGGAGTGCAGTGGTGCAATCTCTCCTACCTGCAAACTTTGCCTCCCTGGTTCAAGTGATTCTTGTGCCTCAGCCTCCCAAGTAGCTGGGATTACAGGTGTGTGCCACCACATGCAGCTACTTTTTGTATTTTTTTTCAGTAGAGATGGGTTTTACCATGTTAGCCAGGCTGGTCTCTCGAACTCCTGAGCTCAGGTGATCTGCCCGCCTCAGCCAGCCAAAGTGCTGGGATTACAGGCATGAGCCACTGTGCGCAGCCTAATTTTTAAATTTTTAACAATTTTTTTTTTTTTTTGAGACAGCGTTTTGCTCTTGTCACCCAGGCTGAAGTGCAGTACCACTCGGCTCAGTGCAACCTTTGCCTCCTGGATTCAAGCAGTTCTCCTGCCTCAGCCTCCACAGTAGCTGGGACTAGAGGTACGTGCCATGCCCAGCTAATCTTTGTATTTTTTAGTAGAGACAGGGTATTACCATGTTGGCCAGGGTGTTCTCCATCTTCTGATCTTGTGGTCCACCCACATTGGCCTCCCAAAGTGCTGGGATTACAGGCGTGAGCCACCATGCCCAGCCAAATTTTTTCTTTTTAAATTGTCTTTAGAGACGAGCTCTTGCTCTGTTGCCTAGGCTGAAGTGCAGTGGCTCGGTATAGCTCACTGCAGACTCAAACTGCTGGACTCAAATGATCCTCCCACCTCAGCTATCTGAGTAGGTAAGACCACAGGTGTGTACCACACCCTGCAAAGTTTTTACATTTTTTGTAGTAACGGGTTCTCACTGTGTGGCCCAGTCTGGTTGAACTCCTGGCCTCAAGTGATCCTACCCTCTTGGCCTCCCAAAGTGCTGGGATTACAGGCTTGAGCCACCATGCCTGGCCTTGAGTACAGAATTTCTTTAGGGGGTGACGAAAATGTTCTAAACGTGGTGATGGATGTACACTAAAGTGTAAACTTCAAATGGATAAATTGTATGTGAATGATATCTTAGCAAAATTGGTTTATTTAAAACAACAACAGGCTGGGCGACGTTGCTGATGCCTGTAATCCCAGCACTTTGGGAGGCCGAGGTGGGTGGATCACCTGAGGTCAGGAGTTCAAGACCAGCCTGGCCAGTATGGTGAAACCCTGTTTCTACTAAAAATACAAAGAATTAGTAACTTGAATGAGGGGCAGGGTGTCCCTCCTGCTCCAAGCAGCTCTTTTTGAGCCCCGGCTATTTCTGAGGTCCTCAAACAAAACCTCCCAAGTCATACCCAACATGGGCCTCCTCCCCTGTTCTAGCCCCTGATGGGAGATGCTGAGTGACAGAGGCTCAGGCTTTGGGTGTTCCTGGCAAAGCCTCACCCCAGGAGCCCCACAGCTCAGGCCCAGTCTGTGGTTCACACGGCCCCATTTCGTCCTCTTTTTCCCTTGAGAGCAGTTTCTGCCTGGGAGATCCTGGATCCCTCATTCAGGTGCAGTGCTGTAGGGCAACACTTCCCAGGAGTGACGCATGCCTGCAGGGTCCCAGTGTCACCAGCAGGCCTTCACCCAGCCTCCACCTGAGTCCCTGCTTCTCTCCCATAGGGAATATGACGTCCTCTTCCCAGGGTACACCCACCTGCAGAGGGCCCAGCCCCTTCACTGGAGCCACTGGATTCTGAGGTGAGCTGGGTGAGGTGCAGGGGCCATGCTGGAGGGAAGGACCCTGGCTGCCCTGACCCTCCTGCCCGTGGCTTCCCACAACCATGCCAAGGTGCTGACCCTAGACTCTGAGCGGCTGCTGGAGGTGTGGAAACAGATTGGCGTCCTGCCCCTGGGGAGGTGGGTGAGGCTCCATTGCCCTAAGGGCCTGGTAGGGGTGGCTGCTGCATAGCCTTAGGGATTCACGCATGAGCTGGGAAGGGCAGAGAGGGATAGAAAATCGGATTATCTGCTCAGAGGGGGACGCTGCATGGAGCCCCAGCTCTTGCTAAGGTGGGGACGTCCAAGCCAGTGAATGTGTCTGAGCAGGGCTGAAGCTCTTCAGTGAGGCTCCTAGTGACAAGGGTCCTGCACCCAAGGCGATTCAGTGCTTGGGGATAAGTGTTCTGGGGACATTAGGGAAAATGTGTCGTGCACCCAAGGCAACTGGGCCAGGGAAGAGGCTGAGCTTCAGGCGGTTGTGCTGGCAACTAGGATTTCGTTCTCGTGTGTGTGTGTGTGTGTGCGCGCTGGCAACTAGGATTTTGTTCTCGTGTGTGTGTGTGTGTGTGTGTGTGCGTGTGTGCGCTGGCAACTAGGATTTTGTTCTCTGTGTGTGTGTGTATGTGTGTGTATGTGTGTGTGTGTGTGTGTGTGTGTGTGTGTGTCAGGGCTGCCTGCCAGGAGCCCTGGTCACCATGAATCCCTGTCCCTGCAGTGGGGCCATTTCCGGCAATCTCCTGGGTGTGGACGGAGAGCTGCTCTGAGCAGGTGAGATACACTGCCCCTCCTCCTTAGGGAGAGTCACCCTCAGCACCCGCCAGGACATGCGGACACACCAGAGGGAAGGGACCTGTGGCCCCTGGTGAAACCATCATTCATTGCCTATGGGCACTGAGCTTATCCAGGCCAGAGGTCACCCATGGCAGGGGTGCCTGGTACCCAGAGAGTCAGGGCTCCTACATCCCTCCTGAGACTGCGGAAAAGATGCCTCCCCCCAGCTCCCTCCCCACCCACCCTGATCATCTTCCCTGATCCTCTTTCCAGGGGGAGGAGGCCAGGCAAACTGGTTAGGGGAGAGGAGGCTGTTCCCTGTTCTCCAGCCCAGCCCTGCTTCCTCCCAACCCCCAGAACTCAACTTTGGGCCATCACTCTTAACAGCATGGATGCCACCAGTGAGCATAATTTCGTGGGTGAGTCTAGGGGAGCCAGTCCCCTGCCCTGTGCCTCACTTCTGTCCTCCAGCCCGGCTTCTCTCCAGTCTTCTCCTACCCCTGTATGGTCAGACTGGTTGTGGTGATGATTGTACACTAAAGTGTAAACTTTAAATGAGTAAATTGGTCAGGTTACAGTGGCTCACGCCTGTAATCCCAGCACTGGCCAACATGGTGAAACCCCATTTCTACTAAGAATGCAAAAGTTAACTGGGTGTGATGGTGGGTGCCCATAGCTACTTGGGAAGCTGAGGCAGAAGAATCGCTTGAACCCAGGAGGCCAAGGCTGCAGTGAGCTGAGATCACACCTGGCGGGTGCTGAGGGTGACTCCAGTACACTCCAGCCTGGGCGACAAGAGTGAAACTTTATCTCCAAAAATAAAATAAAAATAAATAAATGGGTAGATTGTATGTGAATGATACCTCAGTAAAGCTCGTTTATCTCATTTTTTGTTTTGTTTTGCTCTGTCGCCAGGCTTGAGTGCAGTGGCACGATCTCGGCTCACTGCAGCCTTCACCTCCTGGGTTCAAGTGATTCTCCTGGCTCAGGGATTACAGGTGCATGCTACCACACCCGGGTAATATTTTTGTAT